AAGATAACAGCAAACACACGAAACAGCACCTTTCCCTCAAGTAAAAACTTACAGAATCTGAGAAACATTTACATAGAATGAAAACACAAAAAATCTGAAGCAAAAATCTGCTCTTGTTTCAAATACAGAATCTCTGTATTCTGTGGTATTGCACTTGTGTGACCATGAAAGGATGAGATTATTATAGTCAAATAATGAGACAAAATCCTTGCAAAGTAAGTAAATTCAGACTCACACCTGCTGCTTAACCACTGGCTTGCCCCTTGTCTCTAGTCATCATATCCTATGATTTAGTCAGTACAGAAGGTCAATTCCTGGCAAAAATTAACTTAAAAATGCAGCGGTAGCTCATAACTTTGTATTTCTGTGCTTTGTATCTCAGTTATTTCATCTTAAAATACAGTTGGTAAATGCTATCAAGAGCATTTTTGTTCGAGACACTAGTTTGTCAGTCTGAAGCCAAAAAAAAAGATGTATTTCCCACTTAATAACCCCTGTGGTTACTATCAGAGTCTAACAGAACTTGCAAAGGACAGTAACTGAATGGTTGGTACTTGCAGAAGCAGATTCTCAAAATTACTTTGACCTGATTTGTACACTTCTTCAATGATTTGGAAACACTGCAGAGCTGAGGATACATCCAGTTCAGACATCACGGAGCAGGAACTACCTCTTTATCACTTCTCTGTCCTGTTCTTAAAATCTACCTTCAAAATATTTCAGCCATCTTTACACCAAACACTATTGGGCTGGGATACCTCAGCAAGGTTTATGTGGACGAAACTGAGTATGAGACACAGAAGCAGGTATAAAACTTGGGGCTCTGCTTGTACAGACTAATACATAGGGAAACACAGAATGGCATAAGTGTGTCCTGACAAAGACTACAGAGGAAACAACTTGCACAGAGCACTATGCACAGACATCATACAATTTTCTTTTCGAAATTGGGTCTTACACATTGTAAACTATATCCTAAAGCAATTGCTTACTGCTTTGGGGTGTGATAACACTGAAAACATCATAGTGCTGCATGCAGTGTTGATATGCCCTCTACTCATAGGTAATCCAAAATAGATGAGGATCCCTTCTAAAAATTTTGGTCAGCATACTTGAAACACCTGAAATAGATGTACACATTGTACATTGCCATATTTCTAAGATACTATTCGTATAATACAAGTTCCTGGTTACCTTCCCTTCAACATTGAAAACTTTAAGTATGCTCATTTAACAATGTCAAGATAACTTTCAGACTTGGGGGAAGCAAACAGTAACTTGCTGCATTTGTCCAACAACTTTATTATTGCTATGGATCACATTTATGAAGACATCATAAAGTTACAAGGACTTCTAATAAAAAAGGCAGTTCCAACAATGTAAAGTGGTCCTTTACATGTTCCATGTGACAACTTTATTACTGCAGTGGACCAGTATAGCAATTACGACTAGGAAATATATTACACATAACTTGTTTTGAGACATAATGCTACAATAGGCCAAAATAATAGTGCAAGAACATATTGTTCTGTAACATGTCATAATTATTTTGAGGTTACAAAGTAAAAAAGTAACTTAGCAATCTGATAAAAAAGTGGCAACAAAAGCAAATTTATCAATGGAAACATGACTATTATTGCTTAGTTACTATGATGGCTGTGTGGTTATTATAATTAGCATCTGTACTTTTCCTCATTATAGATATTAATGCTCATTAACATATTGTCAAGGATCAGAGAGTGCTAAGTTAGGACACACTGGTGCTGTACGCTATACATACTTAAAATGATAACCCAGACCCAAGAGACCTTACAGTAAAAGTAAAAGAGAATGCATAACACATGGGAAAAGATTCCTGGGGAAGACATGAAACCAGAAAAACAATATGGGAAGCAGAGGTCTGGATAACTGTGTGATTTTAACATTACACATTTTGAGAGAACTCACACTGATGCTGATTTTTATGGAGGATTCAGGTAAGTATAACTAAGTAGCTTTGAAAATGAGAGAGGGCATAAGGGTCTTTCCTAGAAGATTTAAGAGGTAAATGATGGAAACACTTACCATTCAACCAGTGTTGTCCAGTGAACGCGAGAACATACATATTGTAAGAAGCCATGAAAGAGATCCAAAGAGAAAAAAAGGAATTTAGAAAACAACAGAGCAGGTTGCTTCCACAAATCTACCCAAACCAGAAACCCATAACACAGGGTCATTTAAAAATATATTTTAATTAGAAGCATGATGGATTCAAAATGTTACGTGTCAAAAAACAAAACAAAACAACATAACAAAACCCCCATACTAAGTTTCTATAGCAAATGCTAATTGAAGGGTTGATTGTTTTTACTAAGAAAATTATTCTCAGATTTGCTTTTTGTGTTTATGTATGTTAGCATTAGAAAGCGTAAGCAAAATCAAGATTAAAATGTAAACAAATTACAGATATAGCTACAACACTTAATCAGATTTCAAAGCACATTTAGGGAAAATTTGAGACAGCAAAAAGGAACTAGGCATGCATTTTTGAACAGATGGCGCGAGATAAGGTCACACAGATATAATTGAGGTCAGAATTTGGACACTGTAGGAACAGACACTCTCAGTGAAAGAGGTGAATCTCCTCCTGTGTATTTCATTAATTACACAGTGCCAGTCAGTCACAGTGTTGTCTGTTATAGATCCTCTCAGTAATCCCTTGTCCACAGAACTATTTCTCTAGAATATTCTTTTAATATTATGCACTTGAAGAAAAATGCTGTGGAAACAATTATTTGATTTTTAGCTGCAGAGAAAAACGTCTACTGGTATCACCATTAATCTTAGCTACAGGTAACAGTAACTATTGAGGGGCAAACAGATTAAGGTACATTTTCAATGCCCATTTAGGAAGAACTGATATAAACCAGCTGCTACTTCTCAGAAAATTACAAACAAGTTTTACATTCAAAGACCAATTTTAAAATACTTTATATCAGAGACAGAAGGCAAATCAAGAGCCCAGATGGATATAACAGAACTGATTTGCAAAGTTGTCTTGGACAGATACTGCTCAAATTCTGCTCAGCTTTCAGCATGTAAAAACAGTTTTATCAACTTTGGTGTTGGTGTTGATTTCACACACTGCATCTGAGAGCAGTCTTCGCTTTGTGAGTTTTTTTCACAGTTAGTATAAAAATATATTTAATAATATAGTATACAGTAAAGCATGGATTCATTATTGCATTTATATCTAGCTGGAAGTCATTCACATTTGAATGCCACTTAGAAAGCATACCACAGAAACCAAAACAACTGAATTTCTACATGGGCCTCAAAGCATTATGTTATGCTGTTTCAAGTTGTACAAAATATTCTCTCTACAGCTGTGCAGATGCAACCAGCACAGTCAATACTTTTATTTGAATGAAACCCATATCAAAGTGCTTTTCTTTCATAATGGTCCATTTTACCTTTCTAAAAGAAAACATTATTTGGAAAATATCGTTAATATATCAATTTTAGGAACATGCTTGATTATATTTTCCTTTTCACTGACTACTGAATTACTTCCCTGAAAATATTTTCCTCTGTTTTCCTTCCTTTAACATTAATTTGGATCTATATTTTGGCCCTTTTTCCTTCTTGAACAGCTTCACACACAAATACGTGACAAAAATAAGAACAGTAATATCAGATATAAATCAGCTAACGGTATTTATATGAGTAAAGGTTTCTGTAGACTACTTGCAGCTTTGCTTTTGGGAACTGGCTGAAACCAAGGACAAGCTATTACTAAAGTCAAAACCAATACTGTATTTTATTATTTTATTACTTTGGTAAATAAAGGATAACACATTTCTTTTATGACAACTATTGAATTCCAAAGTCTCTGGATCATTTTGTTATAATAAAAATAATACTGTTTCAGGCTTTTTAAACCATCTTAAGTACGCTTACAATTTATGCATGCCTACAAGCTTGAGCTTGTCACACGTAAGGTGCAAGTGTCTCTTCTTAGTGCAAATCCAAGAACAATGACATTACTGGTGAAGGATAATCGAGTTTGGCCATTAGATGTTGTAAAAGAGTAATGAGAATGAGCTGAAAAAAGCAACAAACAAACAAAAAAGCAGTATATTTTATATCCTTTTCTTGTGGTAGAAGCAGAAACCACCTTTTTTCATGTTTTTCAAAAGTAATGCAGCTGGTTGATGACCAGTAACTGAACATAATCAGCCCTGAACACAAATGGGTGCATTACGCTGACAGCACGTGAGCCTATGGACCTGACGTCAGACTGCTATGGCAGCACGTCAAATGGCTTTAAAATATCGTTAGTAGTTTACAATGAAAAGCTTGAACAGCAGGGATAGAATTAAAAAAAATTACTTGTTACGTTTTATGATTTCTATAAAGCAAGGCTTTTTACAGACTCTTTTGTAAGCTATTCACTACAGTAGATCACAAAATGTCTTTCGCAGAAATGCCTCTGTGCCGTGCGAACACTTTTGACAAACATGCACGTGTTGGCAGGGTGCACGCTGTATGTGAATCTCATGAGCACACATGGAGATTGTTTTTGTACATGCTTTACCAGGTGTGCTCCAACCCCACAGCCCTGCTGCCACAGGGTCTGCGCTGGCACCCACCGCTCAGCCCCAGCACCACCCACTACCACAGCCACCTCCAACACCCCAGCATGACACTTCACTACCGTGACCTCCACACACACATGCTGGCTTTAAAGCACACCAGGCACACAATAAATATATAAGTGGCATTTTAATCTGCGCTAGGCCTTGGCCTTAGATGGGAGGCGTTTAGGCTTTCCCTTGACCCAAAGTCGCCCCTCAGCCAGCCGGCTGCAAACCCACCCCCTGCACATAGCCTAATCCCTACCGGACGCAACACTCCCCCCGGCCAAGTAGCGCCCTCCACCGCGGCCAGTACCAACAGCGCCCGCACCGCTGCGCTGCCGTGTGCGCATGCGTGGCAGCCGCCGTCCGAATCGTGGCGGTGCGGAGGCTATGGCGGCGGTGGCAGGGTGTGGTGAGGCCCGGCGGTGGATGGTGGTCGCTCCTCTCCTGCTCGTCCTGTTGCAGCCGGCGGGTGCTACCTTGGCTGCCGCCTTGCCTGTAGTCATCAACACTTGGGCGTTTAGGAAGGCCGCAGAGACAGGTGCCCGGTGGGGGGTCGGGTGGGGCGGGGTGTCCCGGCCTTCTGAGGGGCTGCCGGGAGTTCTGCGTGTTGGTTTGGAAGTCTCTTAAGCATGATCACGGTTATGTGTGCTAAAAAGTAGGCTGTGACCCGGCTTCTGGTACAGGGCTCCGGCTGCAGAGGGCCTGTGTTACGCTCACGGGGCAGAGCGAGTCCCGGTACCGCAGGGAAGCTGCGTGAAGTGCTTGGTAAGGGCCTGCGGCGGGTCTAGGGGCCTCGTAGTGCCTTTCTGTGGGAAGGGGCCAGGCCCCTGAGATGCCTGTGCGTTGGTGTTGCGCTCTGTCTGAGCACTGGTGTTGCTTGACAGCCTGCAAGAAAGTGGTTCAGCTTTCAAGGTTGGGAAAAATGCCTTTAAAATAAAAGGGAAGCTGAGGGGTTATGGGCTGTGGAAAAGCTGGACTAAAAACATTCTTTTGCTAATAATATGTTTTTAATTGTGCCTTTCTGAGATTCATTCTTGCCCCAAACATTTAGACAGTTCTTAGTACAGTATTTTTGGAGCTCTGTGTAGTTTTGTGATGTGTTATTGACAGTCAAAGCAGATTTTCCTGTGGCAACATAAATTAGTTGTGGATACTGAATTTAAAAGACTCAGGCTATTTTATCATAGTTGAGTTGCAAGTAATCACATATTATGGAAGATTTATTAGTGAAATGGGTAAAACCTTGTATAGGTCAGAAGTGAAATGCAGTCATGAAAACTGCATGGCCCTTGCTTTGCAGATTTTGAAAGCTTCTGTTAAGGCTACTCACAGCAATAAAGGTAGTAGGACATGGAGTGGAACTCCTCACTGGAGTTTATAATAAAGACAAGTGCATGAGGAGTTGGATTCTAGGTGTCCTACTTCTTCCTTGGTGTATGTAGTTTCATGCAGTTGCATGCAGCATTTGTAAAGATGAGGCTTCTTGAGATGGTAGAGACAGTGTAATTGTTTGCTTCTGCCAAAAAGAGGTGGGCTGCATTGCTTCTCCTGCCACCCCTGTGCTGGGTCTGGCAGATGAGGGAGCACAAGGAGGAGCAAGCAGGATTGCTGCTGTCAGTGGCAGCAAGCTCAGCATGTAGGAAAATCTTGCCTGAGGTCCAGCCTTGTGAAATGTCACATGTGCTCCCATGTGCCAGCTTCAGGCTCAGCTTATTCAAATCATATCATTTGGCATGTCTGTAATGTCTTACAAAACAGCACCATGAGCTAGATCTTAAACAGCAGAAGACTAAAGGATTGGACAGGAGAATGTGGAGACTAATTTCTTGTATATTGTTTCCACTTTCTTTTTGTTCTTATTGATAAAATTTTAGATCTTTTAGATCACCGTATGGTTTAGATCTTTTTATTCTGCAGCTGGACACTTCGTATTCTCATATGAAGCTTTTGAGGGCTGCTTATTATAACTTTTGCTTTTTATTTTGAGATAAAAGTTTTGCTTCCCTCTTCCTCCCCCACCGTCAGAGGGCTTTAAATAAGCAGTGATAAAGCAATAGTTGGTTCTTGTCAAATGAGGAGGTTATTTAATGTATAGAAGTTGTGATGACTGTTAGTAAAGACCTTCTCAGTCAGAAAAAAGTTCAGTTTCTCAGTCATAAACACTAATCAGATATGCAAGAAGAATAGTATTTAGAAAAATAATGCTTTACAAGCTTTTGAATATATTAATATTTTGACTTTATTTCACCTATAAATTACAGTTTACTTGCTTTACCCACTTATATAGTGCATCTTCATTATGTCTATCTTTAAAACATTCTTTAAAGTAGTAGTGGAGATATTTCACTAGTGACAATTATATGTGTTGATTATAGCTTGGGGAGTATTGCAGTTGGGAGGTTCTGAGCTGGATGCAGTTGAGAGAGGCTGTGGTCAGTGTGAGATCGACCAATGTGATGGGAGCGTGGGATATGGAGGAAGTCCAGATGAAAGTGGAGAAACAACACTGGATGCAATGATTATGAATGGGTAAGAAAACTACATGGAGAAAAGAATGATCCCCATTATGTTTAGCACATTTTAATGTAAGATCTGTTGTTACAGAGATCTTGCTGATTTAGGGTTGACTATAGGACAAAGTTATATGTAAACTTGTGGAGCTAGGGAAAATACTTAATTAGTGCAATAGTAGCTAAGCATGTTTGTTGCTGAATCTTTATATAGTGTGGTAATCTAGCTCTGGATATCACACTCACAAAGCAGATGGTTGGTAGCATTGTAAGCTTTCCCTTTACGTTCATTCCATAAATATTTCACTTCTGGAGCAATTGTATTCTGTGCTTTATTTACCGTTTAAAGCTGCCCTGATTAAAGAGTAATTGCAATTATATGCAATTATATAATTGCACAAATATGAGTTTATGTGATAAAATAGTTATTCCACTGAAAATATTACTCTGGACTGAGTTACTGTTACTTGAGCCTTATCCCCATGCCTGTGAAAGTAAACAATACAGGGGTAAAGTTTTTCCCACAAGTGATGTAGTTTGTCTACTACTAGATTAGTGATGTTGTCTATGGCATAGAACAATTAAAGCAATGTGTTAAAAGAGAAGGCTTTCTAATTTAGATGAGAACAGATTTTGTCTGATAAAAATGTACAATTATTCTTGTGTTTTTAATAAGTTTTAAATATTTCTTGTTACAGCAACACCATGGAAGTTGGAGCAGTTGCGGATCTCAGACATGTAAAAAATGCAATCAGTGTAGCACGAAAAGTCATGGAATACACTAAGCATACGTTATTAGTGGGAGAGTCAGGTAATTATCCTTTTAACTGTCTTCAAAACATACCTTTTTCTTATAACACTTCCTGCCAAAATTGCTGTATATTACTCTTGGTAATATAGGAGGAAGGATTCCCTGACAATCAAATGAGTATTCAAATAATTCAGAAGTGTTTACTATCTTATTACATGTGAATGAATTAAGTTGTTCACTGTTTGGACATGAAAAGAAAAACACGATTTTGTGGTCTTTCCACCAATTTATTTGGAAACGTTAACTTGTAATCCCAAGGCTTTGTTAATACCACTGATATGAAAGGTATCAAAGATGATTTGAGATGAGGCACTGTAGCAGCTGTTAGATGTAAACATTTAATTTAAAACCATAGAGCAACTTTTTCTAAAGAATAACAGACTTAATAGACTGTAGAGTTAGATTTTACTATTGTAGTATGTATTCAGCATGACTGTTGTACTTCACAGTTTAGAAATATGTGAGAATTTGAATGTAAAAAACTGCATTAGGGGTTGTAATCCTCGGCACAACAAAAGAGCGATAGCAAACTGGAGGAGTAGTTGGGCTTTTCAAATATGAGCTGCTGCTGTTAGAATACTGATTTCAAAAGAGATGTACATTCCAGGGAGGTATATGAGTAGTGAATGGAAGGTTACTTGGCTCACAGTTAAGGACTTTTAAAATGTATTTGCCTGTTCAGAAAGAAATGTGGAAGTCAGTGCAAAATTGGCATCTGAGCATTAAGGGAAGGTGGTTTGAAACTGCTAAGAAAACATTAAAGATTCTTGAGGGAATTAGCATGTACAGAATGATAGAGAAATAAGTGCAACAGTAGTTTCTTGATGGAGTGAAATAGGGCAACAGAGGGAGGTGAAGACAGTGTTTGACAGGAAGTCTGAAAAGAGAGATTGGGATTTGCAGATTCTGTTTCATTTGAGCAGTTGGTCATGACTAGGTTACAAATGGCTTTGGTAAGAAAGATCTCACAGATGATGCTGAAAAAGAAATTGGTCAGGTAGTGCTCGTCATACTCCTTTCCCCCTTACACCTTCAACAAGTTTACCAACACCACTGAGATTTGTGGTGTGATTGACATGCTGGAGGGAAGGAATGCTATCTAGAGGAATCTTGACAGTCTTGAGAGGTGCGCCAGCATAGACCTTATGAAGGTTCAAGGTCAAGTGCAAGGTCATACACCTGGGTCAGGTCAGTCCCAAGCATAAAGACAGGCTGAGTGGGGATTGGATTGAGAGCAGCCTGAGGAGAAGGATTTAGGGGTGTTGGTTGACAAAAAGCTCAACATGAGCCAGCAGTGAGCGCTCGCAGGCCACAAAGCCAGCTGTATCCTGGGCTGTGTCAAAAGGAGTGTGGCCAGCAGGTCGAGGGACGTAATTCAGCTGCATTCAGCTTTGGGGCCAGCAACAGAGGAGGGATGTGGACCTGGTTGAGGGAGTCCAGAGGAGGGCTACAGAGATGCTCAGAGGGCTGGATTACCTCTACTATGGAGACAAGATGAGCGAGGAGGGCTTGTTGAGCCTGGAGAACCAATACCTAAAGGGTGCCTATAGGAAATCTGGAGAGCGATGTTTTATAAGAGCATGTAATGACAGGACAAGTAGGAATGTTTTTAAACTGAAGGAAGGTAGATTTAGATTAGACATTAGCAAGAAATTCTTTACTATGAGGGTGGCGAGACACTGGAACAGATTACCCAGAGAAGCTGTTGATGCCCCATCCCTGGAAGTGTTCAAGGCCAGGTTGGATGGGGCGTAAATGTTAGTGAATTAATCAAAGCAGAGAGAAATTAAGAAAGAATAGTATTCTGAAAGCATGTATTTTCTGGAGAAATAGGAACTTGGATAAAGGAAACTATAGTTGTCTTTACCAAGCAAAAATTGATAAAGAGAAAAATGGAGCCATAGCTTCAGAAAAATACATCTGGACCTTCAAATCAGTATGTGGGAGAAATGATAGTTTATTTTCTAAATGAAAATGTTCACATTTTCACCAGAAAAGCTAGTTAGAATAGTAAATCCTTTTAATATAAATATATATAATCTCTGCAGGCTTTCTTTATTCCAGATGCAGAATTGCTGAGATTATTCTTTATTTTTTTCCAAATAACTAAAGTACACTTTTATTCAAATATGTTTAGTGATATAATCCAGGAAAGTCTGCCCATTTCCTAAAATATAATTTCTTTGAGAAGTTTGTACTAGAGAGGAGGAGGCAAGCTGTGGCACACATTCATTTTGTTTAGTTGATCATTTTTAAATGTGTGACACGTACCTTGTTTCTGGCAGTAAAATTTTAATGAAAGTAACATGAAATTTTAATTTTCAGTGTTAAAAGTACTGATGGCATCTGTTAAGAGTGCCATGACACCTGAATAGTCTTCGCAGTTCTGTTTATATTGACTCAAAAAAAATGAAGTTTAGGTATCTTAACACGTTTTGTACATCAAGAATTTAAGGAAGACAGCGCATTACAGAATCATAGGGTGGTTGACGGCAGGGACTTCAGGTCTTCTGGTCCAACCTCCCTCCTTAAGTAGGGCCACCTAGAACCGGTTGCCCAGGAACATTTCCAGGTGGCTTTTGAATATCTCCAGAGATTCCAGAGATGGAGACTCTGCAACCTGTGAGCAACTTTGTCACCCCCCCCAGAGTGTAGAGGTGTGCCTTGTTGTTCAGAGGAAGCTTCTCACGTTTCTGTTTGTGCCCATTGCCTCTTTTCATGTCACTACACACCACTGAAAAGAGCCTGGCTTGATCTTTACACACTCCCTTCAGATATTTTTATATATTGATGAGATCTCCTGAACCAGGCTGAACAGTCCCAGCTTCAGCCACTCCTCCTAGTTTTGTATCATCTGCAAAATTTGGTGAGGATGTGCACCCCCTCATCCAGGTCATTAATGAAGATACTGAACAATGCTTGACCCTGTATTGATCCCAGTGTTACGCTGCTAGTTACTGGCTCTAGACTTCATACTGCTGATCACCAAACACCCTCTTAAGTTTGGTCCTTCATTCAGTCCATACTTCATCAACTTCTCTTTGAGAATCTTATGGGAGACAGTGTCAAAAGCCTTTGATGTGGAAGTTAAGGTAGACAATATCCACTGCTCTCCCCTCATGTACCAAACCAGTTGTTTCATCACAGAAGGTTATCGGGCTGATCAGCCACAACTTCCCTTTCGTGAAGCCATGCTGACAACTCGCAGTCGCCTTCTTGTCCTTCACGTGCTCAGAAATGGTGTCCAGGCTTAGTTGTTCAATCATCGCAGTAATCAGCATGAGGCTGACCAGTATGTAGTTTCCTGGGTTCTGCTTCTTAGCCATGATGTAGCTTTTGTTGAGCAGATACAGATAACCACGCTGATCAGAGTTGCACTGTTAAAAGAACTGCTTTCTCTGTTCATTGCCTGATTTCTTTAGGACAAGTCTTGGAAAATCAGCAATAGAGGCCATGTATATGCTCTGAATCTGGTGAGGAACATTTAATGCAGAATGATTACAAGTGAGAAAGCAAAGAATTAGTTTGGTTATCATGTGCCAAGAAGTTTTCAGGTTTGTCTCCAACAGATAGGAAAGTTTCATAATCACAGTATGCCTGACCCTTTCGCTTTGTCTCGAGCAATACTTAGACCAGTAATCCAAGTAAACAGTTCAGGGAGTAAACATGACCAATTCTGCTTCCTGGAATAGAAACAAGGCTTTAGAAGTCATGAAAGAATGACTGACAAATATGCACAAGCACAAGTTTACCTAAAAACAATCCCCAAAACAAAAACCAACCAAACAAGAAAAACCACCAGACCTGCCTGTTTTGTTTAATTGAAGCTGTCAGTTTTCTTATACTCCGAGTACAAAGAGGATTTAACTGTGTCAGTTTTAAAGAAAAACATAGAAAACATGTCCAGAAATAACTGAAGGCTTTTCTTAATTCTTCAGCTGGAGAAGCTCGTTCAGCTGCATGTTACAGTGACATTATTATCATGGATTGGTAATATAAATTCAAGCATCTGAATCTAGCAACAGTATCTGTTACTTGGTAATATCAAATGTATCTACAACTAAAAGATGAAAGAGTAGTTGATCTTTTTTCATTTCCCTTTCCCTTACAAGAAAATCCGTTCTTAGAAGTGCAGCATTCTTTCATTGCTTGTGTTGGTATTTCTTTTGCTCTCTTGACACATACTATATTAATTTTCAAAACAAGGAAGCAGTCACTTTTCAAACTGCAAGGAAGAAGTGTAATATGTAAGCTGGTGGATTAATTTCTGCAAGTATCAGTGTTTTGGTGGTAAATGTGCTGCTGTTACTTGTATTTCATAGAAGACTAGATTTTTAAGGAAAATATACTGTTATTTGTATAATATACTTAAATATTTCTGTGACACACACAGCCCAGGCCACTCTTGCTTCAGGTTGTTTGTGTTCAGTTGATTAACAGAATTGAATCTGTTTTCTTTCAGTGCTAAAACTTACATAAGTTAACATAATTACAGTGAATTGAGGAAATTTGATATTGCCAGTGAAGGGAGAGTTTGCTACTGCAGTTATACATTACTATAATGGCTTGTACTGCTCCCTGAAGACATTTCTCATCTCTAGAGAGGATACAGTATTTTTGATTTCTAGATAACATTACATGAATGTATTATCATAAAATATATAACCATATGAATAAATCAATGTTTTTGGCTTTGTTGTTGCTTTTCAAGCCTCCCTGTTTGCTGTAAGAATGGGGTTTCCGTATGAAGATTTAACTACCCAAAAATCTCTTTTGGTGTATTCAGAGTGGCTTAATCAAAGCTGTCAGCCAAATTACTGGAAGGTAAAGTGTGGTGGTGGTGAAAGTGGGGTTTAGGAAGTCAGTAATGCAGCATTGCCTCTTTCAGCTTATATTGAAGTTGTGCTTTGCATGTGAAGAAAAAAGAAGTTTTGCATATTAAATGAAAAAACTTGGAATTACCAAGCATTTGGTAGGTCCAGCAAGAGTATGTGTCTAGCTCTTAATTTCTTGGATCCTGCTGGTTTTGGCCTTGGCGGAGTGTATATTTTTTTGATGCATTTATAAATTTCTGTAAGAAAACCTTATGGTAGCAATTAAGGTTCCTAAAAAGCGAGGCTTTATGCAGACTTGTGAACACATCACATTAATGCAGCTGTCTGTTAAACTTGCCTGTTGTGATGAGATTTCTCTCCTGTTTGGTTTTTTTGTTTGTTTTTTGACTGGTGTTACAAATTTCTACATGTTTGTATGCTGTCTTGCTTCTTGGCTATTAAATGCTGCATTGCTGAACCATTTTAATTCAGTATATATTGTGGTTTTCAGTTGGGAAAATATCTTGACTATGATGACTATGATACTTAATAATATCTTGACATTAGTAGAACAAACTCAGTTCATCTGGCTGGCTTTTAGCTCAAAAATTTTCTTTGTTTTGATGATTTTTTTTTTTTTTTTTTTATCAGTCAGTGGAGCAGAGGAGAATCTTTAATGTAACTTTCTAGTAAGAAAAACTTTTAACTGCATAATGCCAGAAGTCATTCTTTATTCTTTAAGCAAATCAGTCTGTGGGATTTCAGTACAGCTGTGTAATTTAAGTATCGGGCATCTGTTACCTGTGTGGTAGATTACAGATATTGACTGTGGTATTTTTAAATTTATCTATAATGAAGCAGAATATATTATTCATGCAAATCACAAAATGTTTACAGAATGTGATACCAGACTCTTCAAAATCCTGTGGACCATACAAACGACCTGAAAAAGTAACTTATAAAGAAGAGCAGATCTCACGAAGAAGTTTTCATAATCATGATACTATTGGTAACAACTTTTTGGTAACTCTGTTGTGGATGTATTTTTTCTTCATCATTCTTCCACCTTAGCTTTTGTTCAATGCCCTACTGCTTTTCCCTCAGATACCTTGCCATAATTTCTTGGGCAGCTATGGATGCAGTGCCTTCCTTATCAGTACAAAATGAACAAGGAGTAGGCTTATCCACACATCTGATTGCCTGACATGTAATTGTTGTTAACTTTGGCAGGCAATGTGTCACCGTCTGTGAAATTTAAGCTCATCCTTCTGATTCTTCTGACACACACCCCCCCCTTTTTTTTTTTTTTTTTTTTCCCTTTAAGTCTCCCTAAAGTACCCTTTATACTTTCCAGACTTTTGTTGTTCTGGTGGTACTGGGGCAAGGTACCAGGTACATGTTATCTACTGGTTAAAATAGGTGTGTATCAGGAGACAGCAGATGCTTGGGCAGCAGTAATGTACAGCTCTGAACAGTGTGGCACTCACTTTTATAGACTGGTTTTTGAGCTCTTGTAATACATCCAGAAAGTTTCCAAATGTGTTTTAAGAAGAACTTCCGTAAGAGTATGGCTTCTCTATATGTAAGGATATTGGTAGTTTGAGAAGTCTGGGTATTGTGGCTTATTTAATACCATAGTGCTAATTAAATAAATTTGTTAGGCTTGTTTCAGAATGTTTTTCATCCTTGTTGAAAACTTTAGGTATGATTGTAATCGGTGGGAGTGGAACTGTTGTTTCTGGGACATCTACTAATGGTGCAGTCCACAAAATTCCAGGGTTAGTATCTCTGATTTTACAAAAAAAGCTTTTTTCCTGTCTCATTTGCTACATTAAGCCTATATAAAGGTTATGTTTTAGACTGCAGTGATCACAAAATGGCCTGGCTTATTTCTGGGCATTGCCACAAATCCCAGTACTGAGAAACTGTTGCAAGATGTTTGTCTTTGAGGGAGTGCTTGTTTTTCAGCTCACTTAATTTACCATACAGAGACACAAACAGCTGGCACAGTTGCAAGGCACCTTGTAAGGCATGGCACCAGAGGCAAATAAGCATTTTGGAGAGGTGCAGTCTCCAAAGAATTGTGTGTAGAATCAGAGCCCTAGGCTTGAATTTTGTCTTTGAGATTTTTTTTTTACCCAGATATGAATCTTGTCTGTCAACCAAGACAGACAACTAATGGATTTAGCACCAAGTTATTGAACATACTAATGTCCCCAGCTGCTTACTGTTGCCTACTGGCTAAACCTTACTGGCCAGACAATAGTCAGTATACTAACAAACAGCTGTGCATTCAAGGTGGATTAAGCCTCAGGTCAAACAGGTTATCACAGATCACTTTTATTGGTAGTTTTAAGACAAGACTTCTGACTGCAGTCGAGTGACCTCTTTACCTGTTCTGTTCTCCTGGGAGTTTAACACTAACTCAGCTGGAAGCAGTAAGGTTGACAAAGTTAAAAGTATGCCCAGGTTACAAGAACTTGCCAATACGAGGCCAAGAGCTATTACATTAGTGCAATCCCACTTGAATTATTAAATTACCATTTTCTGTAATTTCCAGGTTTTGTTTTGGTTGTCTTTTTTCCATTTTTCACTACAGCCGTGTAGGAGACTCTCCGATAGCTGGAGCAGGTTCCTATGCGGATAGCACAGCAGGAGGAGCTGCAGCCACTGGGGATGGTGACATAATGATGCGCTTCTTACCCAGGTTTGTCCTTGGGGCAGGCTTTGCTATTTTCCTCTAGCAAAATGTGAACTCAGAAAATGAACTAACTGTTCAAAAAGACAGTCTGTCTTACTAGCTGCTGAAGTGGGAGTAAAGGAGGGAATGGAAGGGGAAAGAACAGCATCACAATCAGGTCATCCTTAGGATCTGTCTTAAAAGAAATGACTTCTTAAATATCTTGATGACAGATCCCTTAATACTGCCACGCTGTTGAGCAAGCAGGCACCAGGTAATGAGTATATCCCCAACTTGCACACTTTAACAGAACTGATCAGCTTTCTCGTACAAAGTGTTTTATTGCGTGGGAAATGAGGCTTATAAATTGCAGGAAGGTTAGGGGGTGAGTCTCAGATTTCTTGGGAGGGCGGGAAGGTGTCATTGTAACAATCCTGTATAATTGCATCTAATTTGAAACTGGAAGAGTGTTTTAGTGCTGTTGTCTTGGTTGCATAGCCTACATAAAATATGGGTGTTTTCATGACTGAGTTTTGACAATCATTCTTGTGAGTTGGTCTCAGCAGGAATGACTTACGGAAATCTGTGCTGAACGTAATAGGCATTGATGCCTGAAGGAATATATAGCAGTGGCCTTCATATTCCTTGGGTGCTTTTTCTGAAACTGGCAGTTAAAAATGCTTACTAGTTTGTTGCATATTTACAAGTGTTCTCAATGAGTTTCAGTCTGTTCCAAGTCAGCCTTGAAATACAAGGCAATTGACAACTTCATGAATTATCCTGAGGTATCAGATACCAACAGCAGTATTGAGTTGAGCTCCACTATGAGGTTAATCAATAAAAGCTTACATTACAGTTTAGCAGCCTGAAAGAGTTGGCTTTAATGCTTGAAACACTTTCTGCTGGCACCAGTGGGTTTTAGAAAACAACTCAGACCAGATGGTTACTCACAGGTTCTTTGTAGGTACAGATCTTTCCTATGTTATTTAGATATTCCCACATGAAAACAAATAATAGAATTGACTTGCCAGAAATGAAGAAAATGTTAAATATATTTTCTGCCTGCCACCTTTGAGATAGTAACGTCTTACAGAGTTTTTGATTAGTGAAGAGACACTTGTGAAATACAGCTTTATATTCAGATAGTTATCTTTAGATAACTTGAACCTATTTGATTGTTAGACTAAATCTAAGATAATAGGGAGCTTTAAATTGTAAGGAAAGCTCTCTTACATGGTACTTTGCTAACATCTGTAGTTAATGTTATCTGTAGATGAGTCTTAGTGTAACGAGTTGGTTTTGGTATATGCATCTTTCATCAAAACAAAATCTAGTGTTGCTTGCTTGTAAGTTACATTATGTGTTCTAATCTTCAGGCTCTGAAAGAAAATGACAACAAAAGTTTATTTTCCCTCTGAGCACATTTTGGAAATGAACTGATTCAAACAATGCCCATGTATTTATTTGCCTAATTATACTGTAGATACAAAGAAGTTCATCTTGATTTCTCTTTCATTTCGAGTAATTTTTTTTTTTAAATTGATTTGCAAAAAAATAGAAAGTAGCTCAAAGTCTTGATCAAAACATTGTACCTTCATGTTCATGAGATAAAATGGTTCAATTCGGAGGTTCCCAGAAACCGAAATTTTTTTCTGGACAATTTTTTTAATGCTTACTGAAACCAGTAGTTGATCAGTAATATCAGAGGTCAGTTTTCTTCAGAAAAGTACCTTGGCATTTGCCTTTTTGAAAACTAGTCATAACTTTTCATGCCAAACGTAATCACACAGTGAAAAATAAAAGCCCCTAACTCTTTAGCTGCTTCTTTGCAGTTCTTTAACTGATATGTTGCTTAGCCTCTTCTACTGCAAATGATGAGAGCATTATCTCAGGTTTAGTCCTGCCCTAGAACAATAGATGGTACAGAGGACATCTTGCAGCCCCTTTTAAGTCTTATTTGTAATTACAGTTCATGTAGAACTTGAGTAATAATTGCCAATATGAAGTTTGGATGAAGATTATTTATCATGTATTTCCATTATTCAAAGAAATCAATGTCTGTCAAAGGTATTTCAGAACGTATAATCTCAGTATGGCTGTCTGGGTGTCGTAACTGTGTTTCTTTCAGTTATCAAGCTGTGGAGTATATGAGAATGGGAACAGACCCAACAGTAGCCTGTCAGAAAGTAATTTCCAGAATCCAGAAGTATACTCCAAAGTTCTTTGGTGCTGTCATATGTGCCAATAGAACTGGAAGTTATGGTATGTATTTTGCTTAACAGACAAAGCTTGTTGACCTAATTAGGTCACAGAAGTACAAAGCCGGAAGTGGATTTTGAAAAAGAGATCTTTAATTATTCTTTGAACCCCACAGCAATACTGGCCATTCATAATATCAAATGCTGGTTAGCAGGGCAGCTGTGTCCTAGTGTGGACTTGAGATATTTTCATTTTTCCTCTGCATTTCAATGTCTTAGACTTCCACAAAATCTTTGGAAGTCTTAGTAAAAATCAAAAATATTTACAACCTTTATGTGTTTTCCTGGACTGTGTATGATTAATTTGAAGGTTTTAAAAAAGAATGGTTATGCCTCCCCTAGATATGGCATAAGGCAGGGAGAATGTGAATGTTAAGCATAGCTTCAAAGCATTCCAAGATCAGTCACTGTGCCAGGCATCTCATTAGTGAACTCTTAGATCAGTAGGAAATACAATTTGCTAATCAACATGGCTTATTTAGTTAGACTGCTTATTGCTGTTCTTTGATCTCTTATTTCCCATAGTTCTGTGTTTAAGAGATTAGTGTTGGAGGAACTCATTAAGTTAATCAGGATTGAAAGAAAGAAAGATTTTCCTAAGTTGTGTTGCTGTTTCAAATTGTATTATAAGGGCATTAATTGCACTGCAGCAGGCAGCAGCACTGTATTTTTACTTAAAATTCAGTACTTTCAAGGTATCTTGAGTTAAACAGATTGTAAAGAACAATTACACCATTGTAGTACAATTAGTAACTGGGTCTTTAGATGATAAAGTACAATAACAAAGACACTAATCTTAAATGCAGCAAATTACACTTTTTTTCTTTCTTTCCTAGGTGCTGCGTGTAATAAAATTCCAGGATTCACTCAGTTTCACTTCATGGTTTCTAGTCCTTTGCTAAGTCATCCAACTGAGCAAGTAGTAGATTGCATTTAATTTCTTTTGTCATATTAACATCTAAATTTAAGACAGGGAAAGTGCTAAGCTTCCCTAGATGCTGCTTTTTAAAATGGTTATTCCGAGGTCTGATGGCTCTTACTGTCTGTTTGGTCTTGTAAGAACTAAGTAGCCAAAAGTGATGAACATTAACCACTGAACTGGACCTTTGCTTTGCCATTTGGTAACATATTTGGCAGAAATCTGAAAGGATGGGGAGCAGGAAGGTCTCTGCCTCTATGCATGAGACTTATTTTGAGAAAAATTGCCTAAGACAGTCCAGGTTTTCATTTCTCTTGAAAAGAAAATTGCATGCAAATGCTGACAAACAAGGAAGGAGGTTTGAAGAGTAGTGGAGACTATTTCGAAGCTTTAATTAAGAGGTAAGGAGCATCTCCTTGTGGACCTTTTTAACTTGTTTCAAGACAGCTGAGAATACATTTGAATAGAGAGGGCATCCAAACATCCCTAGTAGTACAAGCCTTCAAGGAGTATTGTGTTGACTCTGACTGGATGGGAAGACAGTTCAAAACCTTCCTGTCACCTGTTTTATGTAGTGGAAGTTAAGTTATAAATCTTAATCCAAGTGATTTCCTTGTCCTTAATATGCTGAGCACTTTCCCTATGACACATTTACACCTTCAAAGGAGCAGTTGAATACCTAAAGCATGAAAGTTACCTACAGCTGACAAAGCTGGGTTTGTCACTTTCTATGTCTAGATACCAGGATTCATTTGTAATAGCACTTCAGCATCTTGAGGATTGTTCCACAGGTATTTGAAGATGTTTGACTCTTTTCTTAACTTGGAGTCTTTCTGGTCATTTGATTGAATCTTTGCTAAACTTGGACTAGGAAAAGTTAAAGGGGGGAGCAGGTAAAATAAGTGTCTTGTCATAAACTTGATTTATTCTTTGTCTACTTCAATAAAATTATTGGGTAATAAAAGCACACCTTAATGTATCATTTGTAAGTAAGGTTGCTTAGATGCTTGTGTACTGTGCCTTAGAATGATTGTTGCCTTATGTTCCAAGTTGGTATCTTTAAAAGCTGGAAAAAATCATTCAAACCAGAATAGCTGTCTCCCTGCTGTCAAACTTAATCAACAAAGTTATTGGAGGATTCACTTCTGTCACTGGATCTTCAGAGCATCTTATAGCACAGAGTTCACTTTAGGCACAGCAAGCTTTTGTCAGAGGAGCCCTTGCTGAATATATCTCTAGTGGCTTAAGATAAGTTTTCTACCTGTTGTATCTGCCATGGCTGCTATATCTTCAGATAACTCAAGTAATCAAGTGCAGATAGATTAATAAAATCCCAGTGACTGTTGCTTTGGAGATAACATTCTGGATTGTGAGCATAGAAGGTTCAGTATGAGCAGCTGAGTGGCAGTGTCTCAAACTGCTGCAGCTGAGTTCACCAGGACTCATTTCTGAAAGAGATGGGAAACATCCTTGGCTGGCTTTCTAGGGTGCTAGCTAGTGTATACCACTAGAGGTTATGAGTGCTCTGTAACAGTGTACCTGAGGTCACTGTTACAATTCTAACAATTCATCTGTATGTGAGAGCAAAAATTGCTTGTCTCCATGAGACATATGCAATCATAGAATCATAGAATAGTTAGGGTTGGAAGGGACCTTCAGATCATCCAGTTCCAACCCCCCTGCCATGGACGGGAACACCTCACATTAAACCATCTCACCCAAGGCTTCTTCCAACCTGGCCTTGAACACTGCCAGGGATGGAGCATTCAGAACCTCCCTGGGAAACCTATTCCAGTGCCTCGCCACCCTCACAGGAAAGAACTTCCTCCTTATATACAATCTAAATTTCCCCTGTTTAAGTTTTAACCTGTTACCCCTTGTCCTGTCACTACAGTCTCTAATGAAGAGTCCCTCCCCAGCATCCCTATAGGCCCCCTTCAGATACTGGAAGGCTGCTATGAGGTCTCTACGCAGCCTTCTCTTCTCCAGGCTAAACAGCCCCAACTTTCTCAGCCCATCTTCACACGGAACATGCTCCAGTCCCCTGATCATCCTCATGGCCCTCCTCTGGACTTGTTCCAACAGTTCCATGTCCTTTTTATGTTGAGGACACCAGAACTGCACACAATACTCCAAGTGAGGTCTCACGAGAGCAGAGTAGAGGGGCAGGATCACCTCCTTTGACCTGCTGGTCACGCTCCTTTTGATGCAGCCCAGGGTACGGTTGGCTTCCTGGGCTGTGAGTGCACACTGCCAGCTCATGTTCATTTTCTCATTGACCAGCACCCCCAATTCTTTCTCTGCAGGGCTGCTCTGAATCTCTTCTCTGCCCAACCTGTAGCTGTGCCTGGGATTGCTCCGACCCAGGTGTAGGACCTTGCACTTGTCATGGTTAAACTTCATGAGGTTGGCATCAGCCCACCTCACAAGCGTGTCAAGGTCCCTCTGGATGGCATTCCTTCCCTCCAGCTTATCAACCGAACCACACAGCTTGGTGTCATCGGCAAACTTGTGTGTTCATTCCACTACATAAGTTCTATTAAATTTACAGATAACCAAACCATGACTGAAATGCCCGTGGAGCAGATGTGGCAGAATCTCAGGATTTTGTGGCTAGTTTTATTATTGTTTAGGCTGCCGAGTCAGGCAGCAAACCTTTTCACATGTTTATGCATTTAGCAATATTACCCATGTTTTCATTTTCTTCTGTTGTTTTTTTTTGTTTGTTTTTTCTTTTTGGGGGGGGGGGATGTGTTTGGTTTTTTTTGCTTGACTGTTGGAATCAGTGTAGGTAAATACACCTGCTAGTGCAGTGCTCTCTTGGTGTGATTAGCTGATACCTTTACAGTGACAGGTGGTGGTTTGTGAAATAAAAGCAATAGGGGCTTCAAAGTGTGCCAGCTGTTCAGGGAATTCCTGTTATTGGTAACTTGTGTTTTTCCTAATAGGACAGGGAAAAATCTTTTAAAGAAAAGCTTTTTTATTATACTTTTCCCAGGTAGAACTTTACAAAAACAATTGTATTGTAAATGTCGGGGGGGGTTATTGGTTAGAAATGGTGATTTTGGAGCTCTGCATGGGAAGAACTTTCATGTCTTAGATGAAAGGAATTTTCTTGTTTTCACCTGTTGCATACTTGCCAGGCAGACTCTGAAATACATTTCAGCTCTAATTCTGTTTGTTGCTCAATTATTATTTCAGTGCTGGTTGTGTTAAATACAAAAAGCAGTGAGCTTGCTTTTTGAATGTAGTTGTGAAGTTGTATTGCATTTTGTATTTCTACTTTTTCAGCATTTGTCATCTAAAGATCCTAAGGAATAAGAAATGCAGTTTAGCAAGAAATCCAGTGCCCTTGGTTTAAGTACTGTTATGTGCAGGTGGGAAGCATCCGGAGTTGTTACCTGTCCAAGACAAATATACAGAGAATGTTACAGAACCTGACCCTTCCAGCGGGAGAAAGGCATTTTGTGAGTGTCCATTTAAGTCTGATCTTCCAACTGCAGGGGCAAATTGTGTTTAGTCGTTGTAGAATGTCAGGGTAACTGAACAGGGAAAGGTTTTTTGTTTTGTTTTGTTTTTTTATACATACAAAAACATAGTAGATAATACTGTATTATCCTGCATTAACTAATAGCAATAATAATTATAGAAGCTGTATTTTTAATGGTTGAGGGATGAGTTACTCAAACTGAGAAGCACTATCACGGTAGATTCTAGTAGTGCTGTATTACAGATTTAGTATTATACTCAGCTAGGTCATGAATGCTTATTGTTATAATTAGATGCTTGATGGTATGTGTGGTTATTTATTAAATACAATGTGACAGGCTATTTGAAAATAAAAATAATTTTGCTGCTAGCTTAATAGTGCTCCTGAATATTCATTGTTATGACAAAAATTACAAGGCAAATTATCATAGATCATCTGTGAGGATGAAGATTGGGTTGGCATGCTAATACATAGAGAAGTATAAAGGAACTGAAACTTGTCATAAATTAATGTTTTCATCAGCAGTGCTTTTCCTGAGCATTGAGGAGCAACATGGAAGTGGCAGTTTCCTACTTTTGTTGTGTAATCAATTCCTTATCTATGTAGGATTTTTTCTGAAAGATTTACAGTAATAGATGAAGTAAAACATTATAGATTAAAAAGGGTGGATGTAAGAAGTACTATAAACAAGTCTAATTCATATGCAGTCAAGTGTGTTTTGCTAATTTGGTTGTTACTGAGGACTAATTTGTGTGTTACAAAGTAGAAAATAAATTATGTTGGAGTAGCTACAGTGTTAATGAACTGTAACTATTTAAATTCAATCTGTACCTGTTCCTAGGATTCTGTCAACATTAAAGGCTTGTGATCTCGCTTCTCAGCAAGAGATCTGGCAATTTTTGTTGTTCCTTAGTGAAACTGCTAGTTGCACAAAATGGGTCTTCAGAGGGTAACATCACTTTGCCAAATGAGCTTAAGGATGTTAACAGGCTTTAACTGATTTCTGCAGTGCTACCTTTCCCTGCCTTCTGTATCTCTTTGATGGAAGTCCTGTACTAGGACTGCAGACAAGGGTGTACATACTCACCTAGACAGCTACATGCCAGATCCAGTGGTTTAACCTCTCTGACAGCCATCTTCATTTTGCACTGGGAATAGCAGGTGCCTGCAACCCGTTCCACTGGCTCTCCTGTGTGCTTCATAACTTGTGATCAGAGCAGTAACAGCTCCAGGGCAATTTGACTGCAGCTGTTTGCTGGGGGAGTATGCATCAAAGCCCTCAGGTGTTTATAAAGTACCTTCCTCATTCCTGTGAATTGAGCTCCTAGGCTCATAGTTACAGCCATGGGGATAAAAAACACAAAAAGCAACTATACGGAGCAAAGAACAATTAGCTACTAGCGAAGTCCTGAAGAGAAGGTTATGGTTGAACCTTTGTCCATCTCTGGAGTATGGTTTCAGCTGGATAAAGATTTTGGTACCCCAGAAGGCATGGTACTACTCACATCCTCCACTGTGCATTCTCTGTTCAGTTAAGCAGTTGTTTCTGGTGGTTATGCAACACCGCAACATGGATCAGCTTGCTGGTCTGGCTGAAAACTAGTCTTGTCTTTTTTCAGAGTGTGAATAAACAAGCTGTCCTGTCTTACTGTACAGCCACTTGTCTGCTAATACCAACACAAGGCAGACTGCAGGAATCGCAGTAGGGCAGTGAGGAGCACAGGAAATTATCCAGTTGGTGACAGCAAATCCTTAGGTTAGTGATGGAAGACTTCAGAATTTTCCTGCAGACTGAAGTAACGTGCCTATCTCTCTGCAGGTTTCATGAGGTCAGCCTTCAAGGTAGATGCCTATCCTACTATTTCTCCCTAGTAAAGTTCAGTAAGAGACATCAAAACTTGGGATTTGAATACAGGATTCATACGATTTCAGGGAGAATTCTTATCAACAAGCTATTATCTACCATAGGCTTCCCATCTTCAGGATGGGAAAGTGCAGTGTCTCCATACAACCTTCTGATGGCTTTCTCTTTTGTTAAATTGTGAATTTGAATTTCTTCTGTCTGAGGAGGCTTTACAAGTCAGATCTCATACTTAAGAGCAACTGCTGTTACTGCAATGCTTTATGAAAATGTGAGTGCCATGAATTCAGTCTCTTGACTGGCTATTTAATCGAAAGTCACTGTGAGATGTGTTCTGTGTTAACACTGCTGTGTTTTGGACAGACTACTGTATTGGGCTTTCGGAGAGTTCTGTCAGGGATGTCTGGTTACTGGATCACAAAGAGGTTTAAGCAAAAGACAAGTGCCAGTATGCTCAGTGGAGCTGAGGTAACATCTCCAGTCACATTCAGGAATAAAGATATAACCTGTAAGCTGTAACTTAATTCAAAAAATCAAGTCTCTTTCAGGGTTGGGAATATGAATTTGACCTTGCAGAAAGTTGTATGACAGTAATGTAGTGCCTCACTATGACAAATG